TTATAGATGTTGCAACCACTGTAAATTTAGAAGAGGCTAAGAAGCCTACCTTAACACCAGCACTGGTGCAAATTCTCACTGCTTCTCTGACACCAGGACGACAAGGATCCTTTATACCAACGATAGCAAGCAAAGTCAATTCATCTTCTGGTAAAGACCATTTATCCAAGTCCTCCTGTTCCTTGGGAACTTGGCTCAGCTCTTGTGTTCTGCATGCAATAGCAACACATCGCAAGCTATTTTTTGCCATGGCATCAATAGCAAGTCTGAAAAACTCCTGTAAAATAATTTCCAAACAGAAATGTTATTGCAGTGAAATTTTGTTATGATACCATCCAATAAGAACTTGGAGAGACTGTTCTTTACAAATTTTGAGTCATCTCACCTTCTGGCTATCAATGGGCTGTAGAGTACCATTTGAGTCCATATACTGTGTACAACAAGCCAGAACTATCTCTGCTGCTCCCTTCCAATGAATGAAAACTTCAGAATCACCCTGCAGTGAGTTAATATACTCCTTATCAGCTTCATCAATTATAACTAGAGACTTTACTCATTGAATAGTGATGAGAAGATGTTCATGTGTTTAGCAGAGCAACTACTTAGTCCAATGCCTTCACAACATTTTAATAGTTCCCTAATCTTAAAACTAGAGAGAGGGTCAAGAAATTACTCGAAGCACAGCAACACCTCCACGCTTTTTCTCAGAATTGAAAGGGAAAGCATGGATGATAGCAGACTCCGACCTGATGGTATCAAACTTCATCCCCAACTGCAACCATAGCTTCTTTAAACATACTGCCCATGCAGAGAGAAAAATATGCCAAAGAGACCAGAGAAAGCAAACATTTAATACCTTATACGCCCATGACAGAATAGCCTTCTCTGTGGGAGATCCAGAGATCTCCACTTCTCCACCATCCTACAGTAAAAACAACATGAGCACTAACCATCCAACGTTTGATAACCTCAGTTTGACAATATCAGAGTAGATGAAAAACCAACCTTGGGATGAAAAACGTTTCCTGTAGTGTTCTGTGCCACACCCTCACTTATTAAGGCAATAAGTTTAGGGTGGAGACCAGAGGGGTTGTCTGCTACCTCCATCTTTGATCCTCCAGCATAAGTCTCAACCACAGTCATCTGTAATTTTGGAAAAGGGAGAACATTAGCCATCTAGAAGGGTATGGTGATTTCCATGTCAAGGAAGAATCTCTCATTGCGTTGATGCTGAGTTTCACTAGGTAAATGACCTGATTCAAAGTTAAAGTTCCAGTTTTGTCACTGCAGATTGTTGTTGCTGAGCCCATGGTTTCACAAGCTGAAAGTCTCCTAACCTGTTGATAAATGAAATGTGGTCAGACAATAATCAAGAAGAAATAACTTAAGCTATAGTTAAGACCTATATTTGATTCTTACCAAAGCTTTGTCTGCCATCATCTTTCGCATTGAGTAAGCCAAACTACACACATGGAGTCAAGACAAAGTAGATGAAGAACTACGATGTAGTTAACATTTTTTGAATAAATAATACTTACGTGAGGGTAACGGCTAGGGGAAGTCCCTCAGGCACTGCCACAACCACAATAGTAACCTACACAAATGCAAGAATTAATTGCATGCCTATTGAGCAACATAATCACAAATGTGAAATGAATACTTACGGCGATTGTAAATATCTTTACACAATCATCTACAATGTCACTGATACTAGTCTTCCCTTTGACAAACTGGGTTGCTCCACTAGAATCTTGGGTAGTTCCAGTAAAGTATCTGAAAAAATAAATTCAAGATTATAGCCCTCAACATGCCATGAAATTGTAAGCCAAAAGTTTTATTGACCAAGGTAAATCATATTACCTCACAAGAAGAGCTACCAGGACAACAACAGCCACTGTGAGCCCCACTATGCCAATGAAGGTTGCAAGACCATTTAACCGCACCTGTTATAAGATTTTACCAAAAGGAACTGTTAAACTTCTTTCAAGACATTGTGGAGACCATAAACCAATAAAACAGTGATCAAGATGACATACCTGCAAGGGAGTTTCTTCACCAGTATCCTCAGAGATACTTGCCATCAACAATCCCCATTCGGTGTTGATTCCAACACCAGTAACCTGTTAAACGAGTCACAAATAATCAATACCAGAAAATGTGTAAGAAGAGTGGTCAGAATAGGACCAAAGGCCTCAAAGACATACCAGCATATTACCAACTCCGTCAGCTACTTTACAACCAGACATTAGAAAAGGGGATTTCTGATCCTTGTGACACTGCAACAAAGATCTTTGTTGGCAAATAGAAACAGATGATAAGCACAAAGTTGAACAAGTAGAATCATAATGAACTCACAATCTTGCTTTCACCAGTCATGCTAGATTCATCAATGGCAAGAGAATGACCACTAATTAGCACTCCATCCGCAGGGACCTACATGGATACAATACGTAAGGCCAAAGCGTACTAAGATTAATTCTAAATTAAGCCACAGATGAAATATGTTGAGAAAAGATACCTACCTGGTCTCCTATTCTAAGTGGTATAACATCTCCAACAACAACGTCATAGATTGAAATCTTCACTATTCTCCCTCCTCTCATGACCTGTAGAAATTTTCATTTATTTAACTGCCAGCTCTAAACCAAATAACTTGCAAACAATTCAAAGATGTTAAAGCAAGCACCTCTAGTTGTATATTTCTTTTTTCATCGTTGAGGTTTTGAAACTGAAGAGATTGGCGATAGTCGCTAACAGCTGAAAGAATAAAAAAATAAAGCTATAAAGACATAGTCAAAAAAAATGTAGGCAATAGAAGAAAAAGCATGTGCATACAGTATACCTGTAACAATAATGACAAGCAAAACTGCAAACGCAATGCTTCCACCATCAAGCCAACCTTCTTTCAAACCCTGATGAATGTAGTAACCCAAAATAGAGTAAAGTAGACAAAAAGAAACAAGTGGGTTCTTAGTTTGGATCATTAAGAAGGTAAAAAACATACCTCTGTTTTTATTCCCAATGCCAATGATGTTACAGCCGCAATGATCAAGATGATCAGAGTTAAATCCTGCCATGCTTCCCAGAGGAACATCTATGGGAGTTGGGGCAACAGAAAGTTTAGAATGTATGAGTAATCCACAGGCTGATAAATCACCACCGGTTAAGTTAAAAAGAAACCAAATGTTGCTTACATAAAAGCTCTTCCCCTTCTTCTTTGGATAAGTGTTAGATCCAAATGCATTCTTCCTATCTGTCACCTCTTTCTCATCCTCTTCGATTCCTTGCTCCAGATTTGACTTCAACTTCTCTGCAACACCTTTGACCTAAAAAAAGATAGTAATTAAGTATTTAGTGCCATGAAATTTGCCATTTATATCATACAAATGAATGCAATATGAGTCTAACCCCTCCATGTTGCTGCAAACTAGACATGTTTTGGTTCCTGGTCATTGACACAAGTTTCTCAAGGTCGATGTCAAAGTTACCAGGTGAAATTGCTGGAGTTGATGATGCTGATCCAAATCCTGAAACCACAAAAGAAATGTAGATTCATTATAAGAAAAATAAAAACATTATTTGATCTGACTTCATATATAAAAAAAGAGTGTCACATACCAGTTTGTTGTTCTCCAGCCAACTTGAAAAGCAATGCTGCCTGATTCAATAAAGCAATAAATGATGTGAGATATCAAGAAACAAACAAGAAGCAATCAAAAGCTTCATCAAGAGGATATATAAAAGACGAATACATACCCTAATGACTTGAGCATGTGCTCTGATCATCCTCCTACGCTTCTCATAGTGTTCTTCTTTGTTTAGATCCAAAGTGTATCGAAACCGACGTGATGCATTCAATACAAGCGATGCTTGCTGCAATATTTTCACCATTTCAAAATCCAACGTTAAGATTCCTGATCAGAGAAAAATGGGAGGAGAAGATAGGAGTAGGACATACCCTCCAGCGGCGGAGAGAATCAGCGGAGGCGTTCTTGGTGTTATCAAGATCAAAAGGATCATCAGGGTCGTGTTCAAGCTGTTCATGGTGATCAGAAGGATGCACATCTTCTGGTTTAGACGACCCACCAGCTTCCATTTTGTCGTGTCGTCCTGACATTGACGTGAGGAGCAATCCATTGCTGGACGAAGCACTCATTCTTTACCTCTTCTTCTTCTTCTTCCTCTAAACTTTCTTGAGAAAATCACAAAAAAACAAAAATAAAAGAAAGAAAGAAATAGAAACGACCTATTCTGATTAAGTAAGGTTGTTCGTTACTAATTTGGCGAGAGAGAATGCCAAACTCGTAAGAAGGAGAAAGGCAACAAAAAAAACGAAATCACTATCTCTCTCTCTCTCTCTCTTAAAATTTCTCTCTGTCAATCACAGAGAAGAAGAAAAATAAGAGAAACTAATTTAGAGCGAACCTAATATTTGATTCCCACAAACAAAACTAAAACAAAAGACAGAGAGAGAGAGAACACAACTGATTGGTCTGTTTGCTATTTTTGGTATGTTTCTTTGCAAATTTTGCGGAAAGTTTGGTTGTTTTCTTTCTCCTTTTTTGTGGGGAAGAGAAGAAAATGAAGAAGGAAGAAGGAGATTTTGCCGGGAATGAACAGGGCATTTCTCACACCATCATGACATAATAACATGGCATATATCCAAATAATCTCACATTTAAATATTACTTTTTACAATTCCTTCATCTTGGATCTAAACACATTTTTTAATCTTTTTCTTAGCTCAATTTATTGAAAAACAAACATTTTATCAGTCTTTTACATGAATTAGTTAAGAAACCTTTTCAAAATGATCAGGTATGATAGTGAAGTTGCAGAGAAAGTTGGTATAAAACATGGTGAACCATGAACGTGCGTACGACGTAAAAATATTTTACGTGATCACCGGGTTGCACGACATCACCAATCACTGTCTGTAATGCTAGTTAACTAACTATTCAAATATCCCTATTAAACGCTTTTGTTAATCAAATATTTTATATGGGATTTACTAAAAAGTTAAAGACAAGCAACTGTTCACTGTTTCTACTTGAGCAAGAAAATAATACAGTTGAGAGAGACTGAGCAAATGTGTTTTTTCTCTTCTGATGAGTAATCTTCTAAATGAGTAAAACAGCAAATTCATATGAGTGTCCCAAAGAACCCTAAACCCAACTCACATCTTTTCTTGCTCGCAATACTTTTCTCAGTTTGAGTTGCTAATGTCACCAGCTACTACCATCATTTGATCAGCCTCAAGATTTGAGTCCTGCAACAATGTCATCAAAATATATTTTTATCTTTAAGAGAATCAAACCTCTTTAAGCACAAGAGATATATGTATAGTAAGGAAAAAACTGAAGTTGCTCACGTCATTCTTATTTGCAGGCTGATGCCTGGTTATTTGAGGAGGAGGGGCTTTGGATAAGTCTCTAAGAGCTCCCTGAAATTATCAAAGACAACTGCTGTTGTTAGTGTTAGGTTTACATATACTTGGAGTCGGACTGAATAAAGAAAGTAATTAGCTAATTACCTTGTTTGCCCACATCAGTCCACATGCATTACACAGTGTCCTTGGCCCTTCAGGTCCACGCCGCATCATCGGTGTCGAATTCTCACTCGTTCCACAGTGCCGACATCTTTTCACATGTTCACAAACGTATCAAGATGAAAATGTCAGAGATTAAGCCTTTCTCTCAACTAAGAACCACCAAGCTATTAATAACTTCACCATCTATATATAAAGAAGCATTTTTCAACTTACATAGCCTCCGGCTTCTGAGATTCACATCCTTCTAAGGCCCAGCTCTGGCCTGATTCCCAATCCAATCCTGTGGATGCAGAATCCTCATTGCTTGACTTGGCAGATGTGAACTGACCTTTCTTACGCTGCATTCTGAAAGCAGAAAACAAAACCTTTTAATCACAAAACAGCGTGTCATAGATATAAACAAAACCTAGTTCTTGATTTAGAGATAGACGTATGTACCTCGATGCTACCTCCTTCCTGACAGTGTAGCGAATGGTCTTACCAAAATTCCTCCCTTTTCTTTTCTCCTTGAATCTGAGCAACGAGGCTTGCCGCTGTGGGGCACTTAACCTTTGAGGAGTACCAGATAGACCCTGGTTTCACGTATTAGTCAGCAACAAACTCAGGGAAGTAAAACTTATATCTCATATATATATATATGGTATTAAACAAGTCTTTTATTACCAGTACCCTATTGTTCTGATGAGGTGATCCTAGGGCTGTAGGGAGTGTCTGTGGTACTTCCCGTCCACCAAGTAACAAAAGCACAGCTTGAACCTGCAGTGATAAATATCAAGAAGAGCTTTAATACGCAGAAAGTCACCATTAAAGAACCAAAGTTATAATTAAGAAGAGTCAAAGTCACCTTCTCAGGCAAAACATGGTCAAAAACATAAACTTGTCCTTGAAAGGACAACGTCAACTGGTCTCCATTTTCACTGCCACGGTCCACAACTTCGCCGCGATGGTCAGATGGGTTTCCAAGGTGAGAAGGAATGTCTGGCTCAAGTCCACCATTCATCCCATCATCATCAGCGTTGTCATCCATCATAACGTGATGCTCATACTGCACATGCATTGGATGTTCATCTCCGCCATTGTGCATTCCACCGTTGTTTCCATGAAGGCCATCATCCATTGTCTTTACGTTCACAAGGAGAAACATAACATTAATTAAGACTAAATTGCTAAGACAGGAAAGAGGTTGAAGAAAAATAAAAGTGGGGTATCACAATAGACAGTGATATAACGGAATAAATTTTGTCACAATCTTTACCTACTGCAGTAGATTATATGATATAAAGTATGATGATTCTTAGTTTCCACAAAAGAGAAGGGTCTCATGAAAAGCTATTATTGATAAACAACATTAGATGAACACAACAATTAAACTGGGAGATAAATCTCACATACTAAATACCTTACCTTAAACCCTAACAATATATTTTCAAACCTAACAACAAAGTTTCATAACATTAACTAGCTGCATATAAACAATCAGATCCGAATTGGAAAAGATATACACGCTCCCAACCTTGATGATGACCACACTTTTAATGGGAAACACAAATATAATCTCTAGCCAACTAAAAACCCTAGTAAATAAAGCCAATTCAACATACAATATAGAGTCCACTTTCGCATATCATCCTCTTGATGATAATGATTTCTGACTTCGACAAGCTAAAATTGAAAAAGCAAAAAAAGAACTCTAAAAGTGAGGTCAATTCGGGTACTACCAGTTGTTTGTTTGAGGGCAAACACAAGGGAGGCGCCTAAGAGAAAGGATGACAAGAATGGAGACGGTGCTAGTTTACGATAAACGGAGGATTTGATTTGATTTATAGTACCAAACACCAAAACCAGAAAAGGGGTAAACGAACGAAAAAGGAACCTCTTTGATTTTATTTTTTTTGTTTCCTGGTCTAATGATTTGATTTGATTTTTATTTTATTTTTACTTTTTGAGGAAAATCATTCTCCTTTTGTTAGAGAACAGAGAATCTAAGGGTTTTTGAGCCCAAATGGTGTTCTTATATGGGCTTAAGGCCTTTTAAGATAGAAAACCAGCGGTTCATAATGGTCTTAAGGCCTTTTCCGCTCATTCTTATCCATTTGAGGCTTTGGTTGATAAATAATTGAGTAACTAGATTTTTCATTTTCTAAATTTAAAAAATTAACATATGTTAACAAATTTATTTTCTGTAAAATTTATTATATAATTTACAAATATTTAAATCTTTTTAAAAGGTAAGTGATATTTTAGTCACTTGAATGGTGGATGATATTTTATTTATTTACTTAAATGATTTTTTTTGAAAATATATTAGTTTACCAATTTAATATAATTTTTATATGTAATTCATTTCTTACTTCTGTTTTAATATAATATAGACTATACGTATAAAAATTATAAAACTAGCATATAATTTATTATATTTTGTTGATAGTAAAAATTTAATTAACATTAATGTATAATAATATTATACTACTAATTACAAAATTAATCGGTGCATTAATTAAAAAATATATAAAATTTTAAATATATTTTGTTAGATTTTTTTCAATAAATTTTGTGATTACTAAAACTAAAATTTAAAGTTACCGTTAAAATATATTTGTTATTAATATATTTATAATTGTTTAATGTTATATACATTAAGTAAACTAATGTAAATAAAAAAAAAATGTAACTGATTATATGGACCTAGTATTACTATTCTATAGTAGATAAAAATAGTATTTTCCTTTTAATAGAGAAGATATGGTGGGATAGAAAAGGTTGAAAGAGGAGGAAATAAAAAACTGAAACTGGGAGTAAAATTTTTCTTCTCACTATTACCAGAGGGGAAAAAGGTCAATTAAACCCCGAAGTATCAAAGATTAGCTAAAAAAATCACCAAGTTCTCATCTCTCCAAACAAACCCTCAAGTAAAAGTTGACTACGCCAAGTTAACCATTTAAACGTCAACGTTTATTGTCACGTTAATGAGCACAAAAACGTTAACATTAATTTTTTTTTACTTTTCCTTCATGATATTAAAGAAAACCCTAAAATCTGTAACTACTTGTTTTCTCTGTCGCCAACTAACTACATAAAAAACAAAGCTTGAGTGGTGATTTCTAGCGTGGCTGGTGCCTTTATCCTTGGCTGTATTTAATTGAGACAATGCTTCTCTGAGACAATGGTTAGTTGTAGAAGAACTAAACTCTCGATTCGCCGATGTGAGATGACAACAACCGGAGAAACAATTGAGACCAGAGCTGAGATGATGACTCAGCCAGAGGTTGAACCAATGAACCATGTGAGGTAATAATCATGTTTTTGCCATTGTTTCATGTTATGGATCTTCTAGTGTTACATGGCTTCATTTTTTGTAGTTATACTGGTGAATATAATAGAGAAAATCAGTTTAACGGAGAAGATCATGAGATAAATGATGGTACTAGATTATGTTGTGATGAAGAAGATGATTGTGACGCTGTGTGTGAGGACATAGGAGATGGTTTAGAGNGGTGAATATAATAGAGAAAATCAGTTTAACGGAGAAGATCATGAGATAAATGATGGTACTAGATTATGTTGTGATGAAGAAGATGATTGTGACGCTGTGTGTGAGGACATAGGAGATGGTTTAGAGGATAACCATACTGAAGAAGGCTTAGGAGTTGAAGAAGAAACTGTGACAAATTTAGAAGAACGCATTGGAAGTACTCCTCAAGATAATTTGACTGATAAAAGTGATGGTGCTGATAGTGGAGATGATGTGTGGAATGATGATGTTATTCCAGATCCTTTGTCTTCTGATGATGAGGATGATGATGGCAATGATGATTTTGATGAGCGCAGGCTGCGTAATCCGGGTGGCAGTGATAATGTTTTATGGTTGGGACAGACTTTTAGCGCTGCTGCTGATTTTAAACATGCATTGCTTACATATGCTTTAAGGACTGAGTATGATATAAAAATGTATAAGTCTGAGTCTTCTAAGCTTGGTGCAATGTGTTCAGATAAAGAGTGTCCGTAGAGAGTGTATTGTTCGTTTGAAAGAGGTAAAAACAAGCTGATGGCCAAGGTTTACATAAATGAGCATAGTTGTGTTAGATCCGGTTACTCTAAGGTTCTGAAAATTTCATCAATTGCGCAGCTCTTTGAAGAGAGGTTAAGAAGAAATCCAAAATTCACAGCAAAAGAAATGGTAGATGAAGTTAAAATGAAATACAATCTAATTGTTAGTGAGGAACAATGCAAAAAGGTCAAGACAAAACTTGTTGCTGAAAGGAAGGCCAGTCATGAAAAGTACTTTGCAAGAATATGGGATTATCAAGCAGAGATCCTTAGTTCTAATCCAAGTCCAGAGATCCTTGCCTCTAATTCAGGGTCTACCATGGATATTGAAATAATTCCAGGGCCAACACCGGGAAGTCTACAAAGACTTTATCGTCTTTATGTTTGCTTTGAATCATTGCGAGAATCTTGGAGACAATATTGTAGACCCATTATAGGATTAGATGGTACATTTCTCAAGTGGGATATCAAAGGAGTGTTGCTAGCTGCGGTTGGTAGAGATGGAGACAATAGAATCTTTCCCATTGCATGGGCAGTTGTAGAAGTAGAGAGTATTGACAACTGGGACTGGTTTGTGAAGCATATGAAAAATGATTTAAAACTCGAAGACGGAAGAAACATAACAATTATATCTGACAAGCATGTGGTAAGTATTTTTATTTTATTTTAAAGTTAAGTTAATAGGACTAACGGTAATTTTATTTTTTGCAGGGTTTGTTGAATGCAGTTCAAAATAACCTTCCCGAGGCAGAACATCGTATGTGCGCAAAACACATTTTGAAAAACTGGAAGAAAAAAAACACTGATATATAACTTGAGCGTATGTTTTGGAGGATAGCACGAAGTTATACAATAGGTGATTTTGAAGATAATTTGGAAGAGTTGAGAAAATACAATCAAGGAGCCTTTGAGACACTGCAACGCACTAGGCCAAAGACATGGTCTCGTGCCTTCTTTAAGCTAGGGTCTTGTTGCAATGACAATTTGAATAACCTTTGTGAGTCTTTCAACAGAAGCATTAGTGATGCTAGGAGAAAGCCATTACTCGACATGTTAAAAGATATTAGAAGACAATGCATGCAGCGTAATGCAAAGAGATTAGTTGTTGCAAATAGACTGAAGACTAAGTTTACTCCTAGAGCTCATGCTGAGATTGAGATAGCTAGAGGCAAGGCCAAAGAATGCATTAGATACAGGAGTACTGGATACGTGCATGAGATAGACTACCATGGTGTTGCTTATCGGGTTAATATGGCCTCAAGAACTTGTGGTTGCGTGATGTGGCAGTTGAATGGTATACCATGCATTCATGCCATGTGTGTTATCACAGCATTAAAACTAAAGGCTGAGGACTATGTATCTGAGTACTACACTACGCAAAAGTGGCGACAAGCTTATGTTCGTGGTATTCAACATGTTCACGGTATGAAATTATGGCCAAGGTTAAACAGATTACATGTGTTGCCACCACCACCGAGATCAAACAATCGTGGTAGAGAGAGTACTCACGCTAGGCGTAAAGGTCCTTATGAATCGGCTTCTAATAAGGGAAAGTTAACCCGGGATGGTCGTATACCAACATGCTCACGTTGTAAACAAGAAGGACATAACAAAAGACGTTGCTCCAATTCACTTGTAGTTCTGGAGAAACGACCTAGAGGTCGACCCAAAAAAATCAGGTTATTATGTTTGTTTACTTAGTTTCATTATTTACTTAACTAAGTTCTATACGTGTTTAAATTTTTTTTCATTTGGTTTGTATTACAGGACGGACAAACCTCACACGGTGGAGTTCTGCAGGGAAGAGAAAAGGGTGGAATTTAGCAAGATATTATTTTAGTTCTGTTTCTATATTTTAAAGTTCAGTGTTGTGGGATTTTGTTTCAGTTCTATTTTCATATTTATGAATAGCTTGTTTTGGTGAAATGTGTTGATACTTAATTTTATTTTGACATTTGTCTTTGGGTATTAGAAGAATACATTTGCAAATTCTCGTCTGTATTTTTAGTTGCAGAGGAAACCAAAGAAGATTTCACAATAGAGTCACAACGAGAAAATACAATAATTTCTAGTCCTAAAGTATATGTCGTCCAGATTCTAAGGTTTACATTGTTAATTACAAGATTTAAGAAACATAAAAAAAAAACTTAACGTTTTTCAGTTTAGTGACACTTAACGTTGACGTTGGCAAGGTTAATACGAGTTGGTCAACTTAAACATCATGGTTTATTTGGGGAGAGGAGAACTTTGTGGTTTTTTTAGCCAATGTTTGATACTTCAGGGTTTGATACTCCAGAGTAACATATTTGTCTACTTTTTCTCCATTTTGGCGTGAATGGATGAAAAACACTTTATACCTGATTGGTTAAAAGTCAGCATAACTGAGTGGAAAATAGATTAACGCCAATTTACTATCGC